TGGCTACTCAATAGGATAGTGAAGGAGCATGATTGTTTGGTGTTCCTTGTCAGAATGAATTGCGTTCTAGATGAGAGAATAGGCACGACCATTTGTTAGTCATTGTCAATTAATAAAAGAATCGTAGCTTCTCATCAGATATAAGCGAAAAGATACTTGACATTTTCGTGTATAGAAAACATATAGCGCACCCACAATTACCGGACTTTCGTAAATAATGTGCACCTCATTATGCTAATGTTTAGGCACAGAAACAGCGTATTATTCATATGACTTCCTGTATCATTCAATGAGTTGAGGTCTGGTGTTTTCACAATGATAGAAATCTTATAAACTGAGATGCTGCTTAAGGTGAAAGATTCGTTCAAAAGAATCGAAGTAGGTAGATAGTTCAAAGGGCTTGCTGCACTTGCTAATGAAACCTAATTCATCACACTATCCTTCACAGTTTCAGATTACAACACAAGGAGGAATAGAAGCACAAAATGCTCAACCCTGCATAATCACCCTGTGAGCTCAGATTATCTGATAGCCTCGCGAGTTATTCGTCAACCTACGCGTAGTTGCGATGACATATAAATNCATATAAATTCAGCTAATATCGTATAGGATGCGATGAAGCACATACTTGAGTGATTGACAACGTCGTCTATGTCAATAATTCTGGAAACAAAACAGGAAACTCACTTTTACATAAGTGAGGATGATCGATGTAACATGAGTGTTTATTACGCAGTCTCGGCTACACAATAAGAACCCTAAATTAATGGCATCCAAGAGTGGCGATGACGATTCACCCATATGTGCACACTAACAGTTAGATTGCAATAATTGTTCACATGCACATTCGCCAAATTACGCAGCTTCACTTATTCAAATAGTTCCATAAATCAAATAGTCTAATGTGTTACCACGTTCCGAGTGCACCAACGGAATGGATATCACAGCACCTACCCTATTCTTATACTTTTAATCAAATGAATAAATTCAAAATGAGCACATCTGTTAGACAAATTATTTTTGTTCATTTATTGAACAAGCTTCAGATATAAAAAAATTGTCGCACTCGGAGCAAGTGGAATGCAAACTAAAACTGTGAGAAGATCTGTACCATTTTTAAAAAATTTTGATGCTCAACTTAAGCCGTGGAAATTCATTAACGTTATGAAGAACAGAACCGCAAACTACTTAAGAAGGCACAATGCCTACCTAACCACCGTGAAGACGATCGAACTACCTCATTGAGAATGCACGGCACTGAAGAGTTCTAATTGTAAGCTGCATCATTGAAATTAACTCAAATCACTTTACAACTAGTCTTTGGAGGCAGAGATTTTAAAAATAACTTTCGCAGGTAAACTTCTTTTCAGAAGAGTAATAACTGAATAGTTTAGCAGCAACGGAAACAACAAACCTATCAGGTTTTTCGATGATTGGAATAAGAAAGGTGAAAACTCCTGCGCCTGTACTGAAAAAAATCAGTAATTTACTAATTTAGACGGTCAGAGTAACAAGATCGCAATCGGTAGGCCATTAGAAATATCCATCCACCAAAAGTTAAGTCCCCAATCAAAGCGAAATATTAACTAATTTTCTATTAGGAATGTACTGTGCATCATTATTATGACCAGCTGCACATTCAAATATGTGATACACTCAGATAAATTCCTTGGGGATAGTTCCTACGCTCCGCAACTGGAAAACATCTGTCTGCTCTCAAATGAGAGTAGCTGGTATAGCAACAACAAATAAGGACCAAATCTGCGACATGTGACCGTTCCCAGAAAGAAAGACTCGGTTTGTTCAGCTATTTCCGGAAAGTAAGGATTCTTAAAGCAAAAGAAGTTACATAGCCATAATCCGTCCTGTTTAAACATACCCAGTAGAAGCTTCTGATACACATTTTCACGTCGTTATCTTTTTTCCGCTCATAATAATCAAGCCGTCTGTTCAAAGCCTGATTAATTATCAGTAAACAGCTAGATACTGTAAAACAGTTTTCCAAGTTTGTCTTCAGGAAAAATGCATAAGTGATTTACCGTCTCATTGGATATGCGTGCATCTCGTTCATCTTTTCGACACTCAATTGATTTTGGTTAGCACTGAGTACAGTGATACATTTGTGTAAAGTATGCGTCAGTTCAGCGTGTGCGTAGGGTCAAAGAGATGTGGTGAACCGAACGCGCTAGTGCTTCTGTCGGGAAACACTGAAAAATACTTCATCTGACTCAAATCATCCGTAGGCAACGCCAGGATGTCACTGAAGAGGGGTGTGAGAGTGACGATTCGTCCGTAAATACAGAGTGAACACTGCGTGCCAATTTGAAGGGAACTGTTTGGCCTTACATAAGGAATATATAGATGCTGTATTCTGACACAAAATATTGGAATTATAGATGTATCCTGGTAGACGATCCACGCTGATTTAGAACAGAACCCACCACTCTGTGGTTCCACACCAGCCCGTCTCGATATCGATATTTCAGACTCGTTTCATAAATGGTCAATCCTCTTTGGCCGGAGATCTTTGTTGAACAAACCAAATTTCACAGCCACGTAAAATATGTTATAGTAACACTCTTAGATGAAATATACTTATGTAGATAATCGGCTAAAACGAAGATCCAGATCATCAAATTAATGAATCTCCAAAAGGTTTTGGGGATTTGAAACTAAACAGACGATGTGACAGTGAGCAAATGTTTATTACATTTGCTGATCGCAATCGATCAATTCTCAATAAAATCGAGGTTTCATAATCAAACTGGACGTTAAAAAGAAGAAAACAAACTTGCCTGCAAACTATTCTTCGCTCAATATTTGAAAAATATTGCATCTCTCAAATTGTGACAAAGAGAAACGATTGATTCTTTTCACATTCTGGTCCGTTATTTGTAAGAGATAACATACCTTTAAAAAATCAGGATGAATTTCTCAATTACAACAAAGTAGTTCGTTACTTTTAATCCCATAAGAGCCCACCTTTGGGGGTCTGCTCAGCCAACCCTTAAAAAGAGATTCGGAGCTACTGAGCATCAACGAAAAACTCTGTAGGTGGAGCTGCTATGGCTCAAACACGTATGACTTTATCCTATAATAAACACAGTACTAATGAAATTAGCTACTTTTACATTCAGATCGGAAAATTCATATGTAGGTATATTTTCAGTCGTCTGTTAAGCCGGTATCCCCGGAACGATCAGTAAAAAGCTCTATTGAATAAAAACCTTAACCAGAATAAAAGCAGTTGTCATATCAGATTTCAACAAACCTAATTTATACACACATTGGGTAGTTTGTAACGGAACTTTCAAACCACTTTGTAGACAAAATATATCAGGGTTCTTGGGGTTTAAGAGCCCTCTTTGATTCTCAGTGGTCAACATCAGTTTTTTGGAATTATTATCCAACTCGTCTTCAGTTAAGTTGCCTTTTGGCCAAAGTTTAGGGAGAACATCCACAGCTGTTGTTTGATCAGGTATTTTAGTGATTCTCGCTTAATGCATTTAATGTATGAGCCAACTTTCAGCTCGAAATTTGATATACATAATACATTAGTTTAATTTCAGGACTTAATGGTCGTCTCTTAAGATAGTGTTACCCAAAAGCTGTTAAAAAGTCCACAACAATGAAATTCATCAAGGTAAAACTTTGCGTAATTTTGACTTCCACGTAAAATGTCTAGATACGGAGGAGGCAGATTTAGATAGACTGTCTCCAACACACGTAATTTTTAATGATAGAATATCAACAGGGTTTCATTCAAAACAAACTAGTTAGATCTGCGGCCTTGCTGCGGTAAATCATAAATTTTCTTTGAGCATCAACGGTATGATCAAAAGTACAAATTAACCATCTGGAATGGTGAATTAATCAGCATTCTGTTGAGTTTCAATTGACACCACAGACTGACACCCGAATCCAAAGAGCAGCTAAGGTCATTAGGTTTCACCTGTAAACGGAGGTCAAGGAAACGTGCTTGATGCATTGTGCTCTGTTTCCGGTTCGGTGAATACAAACATGTTGATTCCGATGTCACTACCCCCACATCTCAGAATTCAGAAGCATGACAATTAAATTTAAGGTTGAAGAAAGTTAATAACAAAGTGATTCATCGCAGCAGAAGTGAAACATTCGTTTGACTTGTACCACACTAACAAAACTTTATCATTCTATTTTTGCTTCCTAAGCTAAGATTACCTGAATTCCCCAGCAAAGTGAACAACTCCATCAAGATATTAGTGATAACTAACTAACTGAATTCTTCACAATGTGAAAACCAACGAAAGAAATTAATTCAACAGTGCGGAAATTTAGAGCTTTAAATTCTGATATATAATGCATATCGGACGTAGGACGATTCACATAATATGCTTGGTTTTAAGGTGAAACTTTCAATCGCGTACGAACTGCTCTGTGAAAAGAATTTAGCATGGGATAATCAGAACAGGAACAACGAATAATCTGGTTTCAAGGGTAAAAATGTATATATGCACATGACTTCAATAGCACCAAAACGGGTCATAACTTTTACCCCGGGCTCGACTACTTAACAGTTTGCAATAGCTGCAACAGCTGCTTGAGCCCGATTTCATGTAGTCACAAACTCAGTGGATGTGAATTGAGTATAATTCTTAATAAGATGCATAAAACCGCTGGACACAGTATTTTCAAGGTTTTTGATGTGTGAAAATGTTAAATTAAGTAATGAATCCCTTTTAATCTAACTTAGACTTTTATAGGAAACAATGACTGATTTTATATGAGAAATACATTCCACCAAAATTCATGATTTCCAGTTAATATTCAATTATCATATATTCATATATTATATCATATTATCATATATTCAATTATCATACATTTAGTTCATGGAAACCACTGTAGTTGAATTATCACCACTTTTTCTGGTGTAAATTAGTACTTCAGTAGAGGGAAATGAATTCCAATGACATTCTGAAAAACCAATGAATCAAAATGAAAACAAACGAAACACTCACGTGTTTTCTTTTTGCTTCCAGTTCAGCAATGCGCTGGGCCTGCGCATTCACTTGTTTCTGCAACTGAATAAGACGGGTCTGAAGGTGATCGGTGGTTCCACTCTTAATCTCAACTTCGCTCATTGATCCAGGACCCAATGAAGTTGTACGCGGTTGGAGTTCTATACCGTTTAGTGCCTTTCCGTGATTACTGTCATTTATAGCACTCGACTTCATCTGTCCCGATAATCCACGTACGTTCAGAGTTGAGGGAAATTGGAGAAATTTGGCGCGATGATTAACGAAAGAGAAAGTATCGAGTGAATAATTCAGCACATATGGGCATTCTATGTAATGATTGATGGAGTCGGACAAGAAAACCCCGCTGAGACCCACTCAGATCACTTTAAATGACAGCTTTAAGTGTCAGGGACAGATAAACAGGTCCGTGATTTCGAATTAAACTAAAAGAACTCATTCAGCGACAATATTATTTCACTGAAAACGATATTCTAAATGAATCCAAAAAATAAGTGGTAGGTACAAAGACCAGCGACCAGCGAAGTGAAAATTAGTTCAAGCTAAGGGTCTTAATACAAATTTTAACATAACCCATGTTTATTCTTTAATTGATTCTCAACCACTTGATAGATTATCTTTTACCGAAGGGAATAATAACCAAAGTTTAATTCGAAATCAAAGACAGTGAACCTGCAAAATAAAATTAGCTTCAGAGTATGCGCACCATTGTTAGCATTTACATCTAAAATTGTGAGAGTAAACAATTTAGTTTGAATGGTTAATGGTTTTTTACCGCAAGGATTTTAATTGACTTGGTTTAAAGTTTGACCAGCTGTTCAAAATAAAGGCATGTAGATTACTGTGGTCTAGATGGATTTTCAAGTGAGAAGAGAATACTAGTATTCGTTTAATCTGCTATTCAATTTATCCGGAGTAGGTGATGTGGTGCTCCTTGGCAGGACAGAAAAAACAAGCGGACAACAAACTTTCGGAGTGTAACTTATAAATTCAAAGATAATTACCTCGGAATATGTCACAAAATTATTCTTTGAGTTCATGATTACCATAACATAAGTATGATATTTTACCTAAGTCCTGGAATAGCTTTGACTGAAGTCGATGTGAAAACGCATGTCATTACCGAAGATTGAAGAAACACAAGCATATTAAGTACTACTTATGGATCCCAATGGGCATGAAACAGTGTTCCAGTGTTCCTTACTGACCGCCAAGCAACGTGTTCCATCGTATCTGAACTGTTATCCATTTAAATTTCCAGTCAGTACCCTCCTAAAATATATATGAGGCTGAGTATCGGATATGAAAAAGTTGAGATCAAGTGTGTTCGACCATGTTTTTCGTATGTTCGGGCAAAAATTACTCCACCGGGGAGTTCCCGATTGTTTTGTATACCAAAGCGAAATAGCACGCAATCCTTAAGTGATTGAGTAAAATAGGTATATTGCGTTGAAATTCTTCATCGCGCTTGGCTGATTTTCGTCGTTGTGTAACTGGAAATGTTTATTCCTAATTCTTTCTTTTCTTTCATCTTATCCAATTTACTTAATTGTTTCTACAGTTTCACTTTTGCTAAATAACGAAGAGACGTTTAGTAAACCTGTAGGCTAACCGGTAGGTTTGAAACTCACGAAAGGAGAAAAGACCACTTAGGTGTTTAACCGCAAATAGGTATGGATTGCTTTATCGAATAAGTG